GGAGCCTGGCAGTCTGCTTCTCTGTGGAATTCAGCTTGTTTATACAATCTTATCTGGCTAAGCTTTGGTATTTTATCTGGCAGGCAGTTCCTATGAAAAGCAGCTGTCCAAGCAGTGGGAGTGGTGCTCCTGGTGGTTTTTTCAGGTCTATAATTTCTTGTTTCATGTAAATTACAGAAATACAATACTCTCTTGGCTACAACCAAATGCTCTAAGCAGTTTTCTTAGCCTTATAAATAGCCCTTCAGTATGCTCTGCTGTTATGTCCTGTGTGACTTAACGATAGGATTTGTGATGCCCACTAGGAAGATGTAAGGTGTTCTGTAAAGCCACAGGATGACTACAGAATTGTTAGAAGAGCAAAGTTATAGATTTTACAGGTATTTTTTTAACCATAAAAAAAATCACTGTTGTCACTGTTGTCATGACTGTTGTCATGATCACAGTCTCCATCTCTGCATTGAGATCCGTACATGTATCTTCTCTAACAGAAAGGTCCCTATGGGTCAGTAGGTAGTTTTAAAAAAACCCAAAAACACCTCACTGACCAAACACATAGTAACAGAAAAGACTCAGCCAAAATACTTCAGTTTAGTGTAACTCGTTAATAGAGAAAATGTTTCTTCAAACGTACTGAAAAGGGAAACTTTTGGGGAAAAGAGCGGCTATTCAGTGCCTACAGAGGCGTTAGAGGTATGTTTTGTGTAGCTTTGGGTTGCAGATTCAAGTAAGAGAGAGAAAAGGTCACAAGTTCTTCTCCAACTGTGGTAAATTATGTTCCTCATCTCTTTTTACAGGAACAGTATTTTCAGTCAAAAGCAAATTATGGGCACAAGTAAAATTCAGTCCAAGTCTGTTAAAGTTTAGTGATTATCCAGGATTATCCATCCAGTTCGTAGTACATCTTATCTGAAAGCACTGCATTTTGTAGATTAAAATGATCCATATAATCTGGCGTATTCCAAGAAATGAGGAACATGTTCAAGACCTAAAAGACTAATTCTCCCTCTGTCACCTGTATGTATGTAACATTTAAGTCTAGCCTCCTCTGAGACATAAGAAAATATGAGTCCCTGTAAGATTCAGTGCTTTAAGCATTGTTCAGATGTGCCATTTGATGCCACTTCTCATGCTAGTGTACATGCAAACTTCTATAGACCCCTTCTGTTCTGCAAAAGGGGAATTTGATATGGCAACAAATGAAAAATGAGCTCTGTCTGGTTCCATATGGTACATTGTGGTCTTGCCTGAGACCTGGCATCAAGCACAGTCCATTTCTTTAGCTGAAGCAGCATTCCTGCTTGCAATCCTGTATGGTGAGAAACTCAAAACCTAACAAGTTGCTGACCTTCATTAAAAGAGTGTCGTCATAAATTATGCACTGATACAGTTTCCATTTCAGCCTGACACATGCCACCTGAGCAGTTTAGTACTGGTCACCTTTTTGTGACCACCCCACAGTTGATAAAAGTGAATGATGTTGGCTGAGGTCTCCCAGTTCCCTTGTGAAGAAGGAAATTTTATTTTCATTTTGGTAGGGATTGATGACTTTCTCCTGCCACAGCAACAGCTAATTATGTTAAACTTCAGTTTGCATACTTTGCTTTATTTCTGCAGCAAGAGTAGTGGTTCCAAATAACATTGAGGGTGTAGCTGTTTTGTTCTACAGGATTGTTTTGTTTGGTTTTACTATTTTTTTTTTATTTTAAGGTGATGTCTCAAGTGAATGTAACCACTAGAGTGCGGGTTATCTTGAATTCAAGTAATGCCCTGTATTGTCAAAGAGCATGTATCCTGAACTTCAGATTTTTTCTAGAAAATAAAGCTAGTACTTTTTTCTTAAAAACTCTTCAAATTAGCTCTCATTTCTCTAGCCTGTAATATCTTTGAACAGTTTTTACCTGTTACAATTAGATTTCATTTTCCTCATATAGAACCCCATTTATACAGAGTTGGAAACTACTGCTTGGCCTGTTTTAAAAACAAAAACCCTGGTCATCAGCAGGACATGGACTTCATTTAACATGGTCCAGCCCTGTAATACTAAATTCCTAGAACAGTCAGTGGTCCCACAGTGAAGGTAACCTGCATCACTTGTAATGTAATCCCTACTCATGCCTGGTTTGTGTTTGGAGGAAAAAGTTAGCATTTTTGTGGTGAGATAGGCTTTTTGTTATTAAAGGGGGTGGTTGTTTTGAAGCTGTGCAGAGGTTAGGAATGCTGGCAATTATCTGGGGAGACTGGTTAGTGGGCTAAGCACAGGTGAGGAGGTCACAGGCACAAAACAGTCACTTCTTTTGTGCCAGTGCCCTGCAGTGGTTCAGCTCAAGGGAGACGCCTCAAAAATTACTCATGTGTGTTAGGAGGGCCATCATACTTCTGTGACTTAGCTACTTTATCATCACAAAGTTGCATCTTGTAAGAATTAACTCTCTAGGTTGTTGTTAATTTAAGAGAAAGAAAACAGTTTTGTCAACAAATATTCTCAGATGAATTATTTGGTAAAACTTTTGCAAGTTTGCCTTAAAGTAATTAAGTATTAATATTCTTACAGAGAGAGAGAGAGGGATGTAACAGCTACCTGCATGCTTCCAGGGGATAGATGGCTAACCAGGGCATGTGTTTCATTTTACCTGTAGTGCAATGAACTGTACTGACCTGCCTAATTTTCTGAGTCTTTAAGGAATGGAGTTTTTGTTTTAAGCTTTTTTGCCAGTACTCCTAGAGACAGTCTTAAATGCATAAACCCATGTGTAATTTTAATTGGCATCTTAAACTGAAAATTTTGTGATAAAGATTCTCTTGGACCTTAAGGTAGAGCAGTACTGTTCTGTATTTCAAGTAAGGAAGGAACTTGGATTCTAGATCTGAAGCCCCAAGTTGTTTTCATAGGACTGTCACAGAAATTTATCAGTGAATTGTGGGGGTGAGCTGGGCACAGTGTTGGAGACTGTGGTGATGAAAGACATCTTGAGGAAAAATATTTGTTGTGAACTTTTGGAATCATCCATCAGAAGTAGCTGAATGTAGATGGTGATCTTGTTGATAGAAGAGGAATAATACCTGGCTTTGGCTGCAGTAATTGGCTACTGTACTCAAAAGAGTAGTCACTGCACTGACTGTTCACCAGGTGGACTTGAGAAGGTGCCATCTCTCCACAGTCACTGTTTTGGCTGTGAATACCCTTCCAGAAACCAGTTGGGAGCTTCTTGTGTTTGGGTGATTTTAAGGACTTCCAATCCTGTGCCTCACTGGCCTAAATAACATAATAGGGCCTGTGCAGCTCTGAACATCCTGGGAAGAGAGAGAAGAGGTGAATGTGGAGTTAAACACAACAGATTTGTCCAAGGAATATCTTCATTTCACAGAAACTTTTTCTTCAGGATGACCTTCCAGATGCCCTGTGATGTCCTCAGGGTTACTATAGCCAGTGTAAATAAGTTATAGGAAAATGCAGGAATAATATTTCTGAAGTCTTTAAATGATTTTTTTTTCCAGCCCAAAGGACTATGTAGGATCACTGTATAACTTAGACTGGAAGGGACCACCTCTGGAGCCCACCTAATCTAACATCCTGCTCTGAGGAGGCTGAGTTAGGTCAGGTTGCTACTGACCACTTATTTTTAGTGTCCTTTAATTAGTGTAACTTAATGTCACTTAATTTAAGTCTGTCAATAATGAATCTTGAAAGTGGACTTGAAAATGAAACCTTTCAAGACATAAAAATGCAATTATAAGCTTGTTTTTACTAACACCCTTTTCCCTCCTCCAACCTTTATCAGGTATTGTCTTACTCTTTCAAACATTAATTTGTCAGAGAAGCAATTTTCTTAGTGGCAGTTCTGAAATTGTACTTTGTATGGTACTGCTTGTCTTCAACAGGAGAATAAACTGCAAGTCTGTTACTTATCTGAAAAGTATGCTTAAACTCCTGGTGAAATAACTTTCCAGCTAGTGCATGGTTCATGTCTAAAATATGCACAGTGTTTGTATTGTGAGATGCGGTGACGCAATTATTCACCAACAACTTCATGACTTAAGTATTTCTTATGCAAAGCACAACATGAACTTCCTATGTGGAATAACTTAGTTTACTTGGATGAATTAAAGGTGATCACTTTTCAAGTGCCCTTGAGATAACTTCTACAGAGACTGAAATATTTAAACAATTCCTTAAACTGCAGACCCCAGAAAGGCAGAAAGATTCCTGTGAATCTTGCTCTCAAGGGAGGAGTGTGGGTGTGAATCCATGTCCATTCTGTGATCCTTAGCATACATACTAAGCAGAGGAGTTTCCTTCTACCTGCTTCTCTTTCTGCCAGGCTGCTTGCTTACACACTACCTTTTGTTAAATGTCACTTTTAACAGTTTTTATTGCTGTCAAGTTCAGCTGAACTGAAGTAAAATGCTCCAGAGAGAAAAGTGATGTACCAAGAGATGCATATTAACAAAACTCCCTTAACTAGAAAAGCCTATCTAGTAGTTAGAAAACATATCTAACTACTCTCTTGCACTCTTGCTTTCATGTTTGTACCTAAGGTTAAGGCAGTGTATTGGGTATCAAAACACTCCCCAATTCAGACTTTTAGGTTAGGAATGCATATATGCTCCTTGCCCACTTGGGAGGTATGTGTAAGATTACAGTCCAGCTCTGAAAATACAGTCTCACGTCCAAGATGGTGTATCAGGCTTGCAGCAAGAAACTGCCTTCTGCACAGCTGACAAGAGTTGAGAATAAGAAGTCTCTTTTCTCCAAAGCATGGAAAAAGTATGAGGAGTTATTGTAAACAATTAATTCATTCCGAGTGTTGTGCTGATGGACATAAAGTGAAACAAAGATTAGAGTAAATGGAAGAATTAATTTGATTTTTCCCACATTAGTATTATTTTTTCATATTATTATTATTATTTCCATATTGCTAATAGTGCCTATTACTGAACCAAAACGGCCTGCAGATTGAATTATTCTGTTTGATACATTGGTACTGTTTCTCTTTCAGATGAAGTGGACTACAGCAATTTTGGGACCAATACGCTGTCGAGGAAGAAGAAGGCTCTGGTGACACTGCGCAATGACAACCTCCGCCGGCGTCCCCACATCAACATTAGCATGCCTCATGATTTTAGGCCGGTGTCTTCCATAATTGATGTGGACATTCTCCCCGAAACACACAGGAGAGTGAGGCTGTATCGACACGGGTGTGAGAAACCCTTGGGGTTTTACATTCGCGATGGCACCAGTGTAAGGGTGACTCCTCACGGACTGGAAAAAGTTCCCGGTATCTTCATCTCCCGTATGGTTCCTGGTGGCTTGGCAGAGAGCACAGGCTTGCTGGCCGTGAATGACGAAGTCCTGGAAGTCAATGGCATTGAAGTAGCAGGAAAGACTCTTGACCAGGTCACAGACATGATGATTGCCAACAGCCATAATCTCATCATCACGGTCAAGCCAGCAAACCAGAGGAACAATATTATTCGGAGCAGTAGGATGTCTGGTAGCTCTGGCCAGTCTACAGACAGCACTGCGAGTCACCATAGCTTGCCTACACCCCACGTGCTGCAGAACTTCCACCCTGATGAAATGGAGAGTGATGAAGAGGCTGACATTGTCATCGAGGGTGGTCTGGAGCCACAACACATTCCTAAACTGCACAGCCTTACTTCCACTAGCCTCTCTCGAATCAATGGCAGCAGCCTTAGCCACAGACTTCAAAGGGACCTGGTGCTCAACAACAGCTCTGGCCGAGAAAGCAACGGCAACCTCCACAAATTACTCAGTTCCTTAAAAACTGATCCCCGACACAGTCTGGTTATCCCCAGAGGAGGTATCGAGGAGGACGGAACAGTCATTACACTTTAGTAGCAATTTCTGCAATTCTCCTTACAGTCTTAAGTGCCAATTGGGACAATCGACTTGGGCAACACATGCACAAAACAGGGAGCTGACATTCTCACAGACCTCATGGCTGCAGAAAATTGTTGCTTTCTAGGAAACGTGGCATCTGGAGTTAGACGTAAAACTGTCATGCACTGCAAAATTTGCCAGGAGAAAGCCTGAGTGCAAAACCTGGTTTATGTCCCAGCCCTGAAGTGAGAACACAAATTTGTTTTAGTTGGTATAAACCTAAGCAGTCTTACAGGCTACCCATGGCAGTGCTATATACTTGGGTTTGAAAGCATGGGTAGACATATTTATACATGCATATATATGAATTAGATTTTAATAGTAACAGACATGTCTATTTGAAGTGGAATCTGGTTTTCTTCTAATACCAGATAAGGAGAGAGTGCTTCTTAATAGCTATCCTGTCTTCTTCTGTTACATGCAGCCCCTCTGCCGACTTGTTTACACCGTCTTTTCAGCGTTATGTCTAACCCAGACGAGCTCTGTAAAAGCAGCCGTTTCCTATTCCGGTGGTAGCAGCGTTCGGGAGATGCTGCAGACACATTTTCCAAAGGAAACGATAGAAATCCATATCCATGTAAACCCGCGTGTTGCCCGCGGCCTGAGGGGCGGTGCAGGCTGTGGCCGCGGCTGCCGGGCCATGGCGCCACCTGCCGGCCGGCGGGGACACCGCAGCGGGGGCAGCGCCGCTGCCTTCTGGTATTCTCTTAACGTATTTATTAGATGATACCTCCTTTTTTTGATTTGTTTGGTTTTTTTCCTCTTTTCCCTCATCATCTCTGTTTTTTCAAAATCATGGTTCATGTGAGTTTTTAGGCGTGCAAGCCTCAGAGCTGACACAGGTCCTTGCTGTACCTTTTCGACAACCCGAATCCTTGACAAGAGATTGCCCTATGGAGGGGAGGGGTGCTGACTGACTCTCAAGCCTAACTTAGAATAGTTCTGTTATTTTTGGACTCCTCCAGTAATAAAGCTTAATGTCTACACAGGACTTCTTGAAGGTTAAAATGTACTGGATATATGTGAAGGTCAGACACCTTTGCTGGGTGACCAGGTGGCTAGTGAGTGACCAGTGACTGTTGAGTCAGTACCTGTCTGCTTCTGGAAACACCATGAGTTTTACGAAAGTGGTCTAATCTAAAATATTTTGTTATATCTTGATCAGTGTAAGGAACAAAATATAAATGTTTTAAAATGTATTTTTCTACTTTTAGCTTGTGTCATTTGCTCTTTGTTTTTAACTTTGTAGTACATTAAAGCTTTTTTTATATGGTGGAATAGACATTTCTCAAATATTTTATGAATATGAAAATTCAGGAGTCTTGGTTTGGAAAAATTACATTCCGTTTTGGAATCTGTAATGGCTGGAAAAAAGGATGTGTGGACTAATTAATTGTCGCTAATTTAGAATACCTGTGGAACAACCAGTCTTCTGCTCATGGTTAAATATCTTTGGGACATTGAACTTAGTTTATTTCTTTTAGATTTGCTTTAAGAGTTTATTTTGAAAGTCTTTCACTTACTCTAATTAAAACTTTTCTAGGTATCAAAGCAGCTATAGAGCTGTATTTATTTTTCCCAGCACAGTAAGAATAGAACATTGATCCTGTTCGTCTTAAATCTGTGTTTGTACTCTACCAAAGGTTTTCATTAAAAAAAATAAATCTGATAATTGGTGCAGTAAAACAAATGAATAGCTGGATATGCTTCAGTCAATCAGACCATCTTATCCGGAAAAATTTGTTACACCTTAAATAAACTACTTTTATGAATAAGTGGATTTTTCTGGCTGAAGTTACTCATTTTACCTTAGTTAACTGATGAAAATGTGACCTTGTCTGCAATAAAATGTTCGCTGTCTGACTTCTACTCTGTATTTTCTCCCCGTGTCTCAAGCATTTTATATGGAAGTATCTCTCCTCCCTATGAAAACAAGGTATCCAGTTTGGGTGGCTCTTCAACTATGCAACTATTTTAGTGCAGTATCTTTTCTCAGTGCTGCTTTTACTAAAGGTTCCTGTTCTTCTGATTTCCATGGGAACCAAGTGGCTTCCTACCCTCCTCACAGCATGGCCTGCTGCAGACCTTGGGCTTTGAGGGGTAATTCTGGCTCCATGGAAAGAGGCCAGGATACCTCTGATGGCACTCTGGACCCCTTTGCCTGGAGCCTGCTGGCTGTCACTGTCCACAGAAAGCATTCCAGTACTTTCTATCCAAGCTTTCCACCCCATTCATCGCAGGAGGGAGGAAGCATAAGTTGTGTCACACACATGTACAAATTGTAAACACAACAGGCAGCTGTTGATGTGTCAACTTTGGATCCTCCAACACTTCGTGAAATAACTTTTAAGGCTTGCAAACATTTTGTGCAGCATCTTCGTGGGGAAAGTAAACAAGCACACACACACACACACACAACCAGCTTCTCTTTTGAGTGTCCCATAACCGCAAGCAGAGCTATGTTGTACACTCACAGTGAGCTCCCTTCCCAACCCAGGCCCTAACGGGAGGAATCTGCCTGGAAGCGCGGCTGAGCCGCTCGGGTTTCGCGGGCCGTGGCCCGTTCGGGTGTGGGATGGAATTGCCGAAGGGGGCTCTGAGGGTGTGTGGCTGAGGGAGCAGCCAGCCCCTGCCAAAGGCCACATCCTCCACAAACGCTCCTGCAGACGGAGTCCCGCTCTGTCTTGTCCCAGCGCCAGGCAGGGGTGGCTCAGAGCCGGCGGAGCCTGAGTTTCCTCCAGCCAAGCGCGATTCCGTGCCCGGGCACCGGCCATAAGGGCGCTCCGTATGCACGTACGCTCCGTATGCAGCGCCGGAGGGCGGGGGCCGGGCCGCTCCCGCCCCGCCTGCCGGGAGCGCGGCTGCGCCGGCCCGCCCGGTCATGTGAGGGGCGGCGCATCCCGGTGGGAGCGGGAGGTGGGATGGCGGCGGCTGCCGGCGCTGGTGACCGGGCTGGAGCCGAGCTGCCGGACGCCTGCCCCGGCGCGGACAGCGGGAACGTGTCCCAGAGCCAAAGCAGGGCCTCCGGCCTCGGGGAGGCGGAGGACGAGGATGCCTCGGAGGCGTCGCTCAGCGCCACCGCCGCCGCCTACTCCGCGTACCTGCTCGCCGACCGCAGCCTCTTCAGCGAGCAGGTGGGAGAGGGCCGGGCCGGGGGCTCCCGCACAGCTCCTGGGCTCAGGGGAGGGCTGCCCTCAATGGGAGGGCAGCCGTCTGGAGCTGGACACGCTCCTGGGCTGGGGCTGTCCAGGACAGGACGTAGCGGGGGTCGCGTCCCTTGCGCTGAACGAAGCCGAGAGAGAGAAAAGCCTGTGGGATTCCTGTGGGACTCGCTGTAGTCTGACCGGTGTCTGTACTCGGTGACACTGGCCGGGGTTTTGTGAATGTGTGTGTGTGTGTGTGTGTGTGTGTGTGTGTGTGTGTGTGTGTGTGTGTGTTTTCAAGCACTTTAAGTGACCTCTGTTTTGCAGATAGAAAGCTTAGACAAGAGTCTAGAAGACTTACTGACCAGGGTGGATGAATTCGTGGGAATGCTGGATATGGTACGTATAAAGTTGGATGTGGTTGTGTTTTCAAAGTCAGATTAAACACAGTTGAATTGGTGTTTGTAAGTAAGACATAGAGAGGAAGAAGCCTTTAGTCTAGGCATGTTCCAGTATGAAAACACGTTTGATAATTAGATTACTTATTTTGGTAATCAGGTAACTCATGGATGAAAACTACCAAGCTTTCATGTCAGAGCAAAATGTGTCCATATAGCTATAGAATCATATAATCATATAGAACTTAGGTTGGAAAAGATCTCTAAAATCATCAAATCCAGCCATTAACCCAGCACTGACATATTCATCCCTAAACCATGTCCCAAAGTGCTACATCTTCTAAATACCTTCACCACTTCCCTGCGCAGCCTGCTTAAATGCTTGACAGCCCTTTCAGTGAAGATTTTTTTTCTAAATGCATACTTATGTAGTTGTATTTGTCTTGTTTAAAAGAACAGTATGATATTCTGCTTATTCTTGAAAATATATAAAGACATCCTTTTTGGTTTTGTAATGAAAGTATCTAATCTGAGTTGCCAAACCACCAAAGCTAGATTTGTCTTTAGGGGACCCTCTTTTCAGAAAGGCAGCTTTGTTTTCACTTTTCTCATAGGGTTAGATGGGGGAACTGAATGGAAAGTTCCTGTAAGCTGGCACTGGTAGATAGGCTGTCTTTTAAAGTGTAGCACGTATGGTTTTCCTGCACAATTCTGTGTTAGGTTTGGGGTTTTTTTTAATACCAGTAAGCTAAGATTTTTGTGGCCTCACTTTTATGACAAATCTGAAGAAAAGTAGAAGTAGTAAAACTGAAGACAAAATTTTAGCTTAGTATGTTTATTTCTTTAGTGTGTCTTGGAAAATGCTCCATATCACTTCAGAAGAGATTGTATTAGCCTACTTTTAATATAAGTATAAAGGTAAATATTAGTCTCTGCAAAATACATTTTCTTCAATGTTATCTAGAAACTATACAAAAATGCTATAGTGTATTGATTTTAATCTAGTGTTTTATACTAATTTATTCCAGTATTTTTAAACTCTAAATTATAGGCTGTTCATTGGAGGACAGTTCTAGTTTCCAGAATAAAATCTACTAAACATTTTGTTTCATTCATTGATTTTTGTATTATTTCTTTGCATTGTCTTTAGATTCGAAGTGATTCCTCTCAAGTTGTCAATGAAAGTATACCTCAAATTTATACAAAAGCCACAGAAATGAGGCAGATATATAGGAAGATTGACAAACTAGAGGTATGTATTTGCTATCTTCTAGATGCATTTTGTTTCCTAACAGAGGGAAAAATCAATGTCTCCATATTTGTGTGTGTATGTGCACACATGTGGAGTGAGCTCAGGTGAGTTGTGCTCTCCATGTCCATGCTGGGTTCAGTACTTCAGGGTTAATAAAGAGGACTACATTTATGAAGAATTTCTGGGAACTGTGGGAATTTCAGATGTGTTTTAGATCTTTTTGCAACATATTTAAAAAAGAATAAAAGAAATTGTCCATTGACTGTTTGAAGCAAGGCAGTTTTTTGTGTTAGCTTTCAAAGTTTCAGAAACAAATAGAATGAGAGATCTTTTGATCCCTAATAAAGCTTCAAGACTGTGGTTCAGATCCTTGGTTTTTCTTTTGGTAGTAAAATGGCAGATAGAGGTCTAGATTCTGAAAAATCCAAATTAGTTATTTGAAAGGTAAATTGGAAAAGGAAGATTATTTTATTAGATTTAACCTGGTTTTCAGCCTTTTAAGTATCTCAAGTAATTTATAGCATTAAAATGGACTTAGAGGCAGAAGGGAAATTGAGCATGAAGTTTTTGACAACTCATTTAAGCAATGGATCTTCCACCCCTCTTTTGCAATACATAATCCTGTTTTATGTTGTTAGGGAAAGTGTCATATTTATTTTGTTGGTTTTTTTTTACACCAGGCTTTTGTGAAAATGATTGGGAATAGCGTAGCTGGACTGGAAGAACGGGTCACAAAGGCAGAAACAGACCTTGGAGCTTTTCCAAGCACC